TGAAACTACAAAAGAGAAAGAGCTTCATCATACTGTTGTACAGCTTTTTTTCCTTACTTCCGTCATTCATATACCATATTGGAAAATAAAATTCATTTTCTTCTTTATGTTGGACAACTCTTCATGGCGAACAAGTGTGAGATGATTCCGCGTTTGAAATGAAGATTTCAAACTCGTTTCAACAAAATGCAAATCATGAAGCATAGCATGTCATAATCACTAATAAACTAGCCCAGAACGAAGAATTAAGAGAAACAAATTTTCTGCGTTCTTCCTTCCTTCAGTTATTGCTCTGCAAACAAGAGAAGGGTATTTCTACCACGTGCGAATGAAACAAATGACAGTTTTTTTGGTCATAAAATAAATAATTTAGTAGTAGTTCCATTACAATTTATCATTTTAAATGCAGGTGCATTTTGTGAGGAAAACATTACGTTAAAGCATCCGCATAAATGATATTTTACCGCAAGGCGTTGCGCACAAAGCGCAGCATTATGCACTAGCCGTGGCATTCAAGACATATTGTGTAAATTATGTTTATGCATAAAATAAAAATAAAAAAAAAGGCTGCCATCCTGATTTGACTATAGCGCCTGAATTTAACTTTTAATCCAACACAGCACACGCTTATATACATTAACTCATTCTAAAAAGCAAACCGGAGCAGCACGCCACCGGCGCCGCGCTTGCGCGGTGGGGTGTGGGCAAGAAGCGCCGCGTTCCGCATCAGCGAGCCATTGGAATTGTTGATTGTAAGTCTGCCTAAGCAATTTCTTCCTAGTTAGAAGTTAACGTGGCTCGTTACAAAGCAAAATTTTACGTCAAATTAAGACGTGAACTTCGTAAAATGGACGCTAAAGCCTGATTCGCACGCTGAGAGTCTGCTCGCTATTTTCAGTCGCGACGTCGTTCGGGCTGCAAAGGCGTGGGCGATAGCTGCCTGCGATGCTTGACGTCGATACTGAAAATCCCAGACATAACCAGGCCAACTGAGTCAGGCATAACAATTTGGTGATGGTCCCTGGTAACAATGATCAACACCCTGGATCTCCTGATGATACCGAGCCTCTATACCCCATACAGCCATTAAACTTAAAAGTCTTCTGAAGCCTGCACTTCTTATCGCAACGTTTGCACGACTTGTCGCTGCCGTTTAAAGCAAGAGACGACAGTTTGGAAGATTTTAAAAGAAAGGAAGACAGTTTGAACGAGTTTAAAAGAAGATACGACAGTTTAAACGATCAGACAGCCGTGTTAACGTGAAGACGCACTGAACGTGGTCCGCATGTGGGTCGGACAACTTGACGGTTTTCCCGCGTTTATGTTGAAACAAAACAAATAAATCTGATGACCCCAAGTATCCGTAAATTTAACTCAGTGCTTCCAGCACAAGCAATGGTGGTCCGACGGCGTGTCCTATCCCCTTTTCACGGTACTTTTTCAGACGAACCGAGCAGGCCGCAAATATAAAGTCTTATCTTCGTACCTTGACCGACTTGTTTAGTGCAGCCCCAATCGTGGCGTTTTGATGAGAAGGCAAGGTATAGTCTGGGTTCTTCCAAAACAACTCAGGAACGCTCGTCCCGCATGGCAACTTCCACCCACATGCCTAGACCGTAAGTGCGATTGAAGCGCCACCACAGCAGCGTGGCGTAACAGAGTTGAGTTGGTCTATACGAGAGATGCGGCATCTAGCGGGCAAGTTTCGTCAACACAGTGAAAGAAAAACGCGCTAGGAAAGGCAGTTTAGCTACTTTTTCTATATCTTTTGTTAGCCTAAATTTAAAGAAAGAATACTATATTCTAGGTATTTTATTTGATACATACTTCACCCTTCCAACCGAAAAAAAAAAAGCCTTTCTACTTCTGTTAACAGTCCCTTCTCTAGTAATCTAGTTGGGGGCCAGCAAACGGTAAAAGATTTGGGGAGATACTAATCGCCGAGCTGCTGGCGCAGAGAACGATGGAGGAAACCAAGAGAAACACCAAACAAAAAATCCAAGTCTAAGCAGTGAACCGCCGCAAAAGCGAGAGGACGGTAGAAGGTCCCAAAGGCGAAGAGAGCAAACACAAAATATGACAAACAACGAATGCAACAACAAAAAATACAAGAGGAAAAGAAAACAAAACTCTGCAGGACCTCCGATACGGACAAGCCTAAGACGTGGCTACCCGAAAGTTGAGAGTGGAGCAGAGCCCTTTTTGGGAAGAGACGATTGGTAATCGAAGCTCCCTCTTTATATCTCCTTTTTTCTTCTCCGAGAAAACAGGGGAAAAGGGGGGACGGGTGGTGGGAGAGTTCCTTTTCTGTATCACGGGCCGGTTCCGGCATCTCCTGGAAATCCATAGTCTTCTGGCTCGTTAGCTCGATCCCAAGTTCCCCCTCAGTTCCTCCCTCGTCTTTGCCAAGCGAGCGAGCCAAACCACGCTCATCTTCGATTTGCCCAAGAGATGCAGCGTGCAGCGGAAGGAAGGCGGCTGCCAAGTCGCAATACTGTACGCACATTCGTGAAAGCAAGAATCAGTGGTCCCAGAGAAAGGAAGAGAGAGATGATGTGAAAGGGAAGGGGGAAGGAGCAAGCGCGGCTTATAAAGGTTGAGGATGCGAGTACGGGTAAGAGGAATCGGAAAAGGGGCCGAGTTACAAAAGTCAGACAAATGACAACAAAAGTAAGAAAGAGACGGAGCAATCGGCAGCCCAATTAGGAACTAACCCAGACCTACGGCGTGTTTATACGGACGCATTTTTATGTTTAGTCGTGGAGCTTTATTTATTCATTTATTTTTTCTCTCTTATTCTGCACGCGCGGTTCCTTCTTCGATTTGCACCTCTTCGGTTTTCCGAAAATCTCTCGAGACCGGAGATAAATTTCGCGTTGTCCCGTGGAAGAAGCAGGGCCCGTCGATCCTCCCTCTCTCGCCGCAGCCTCCACTAAAGGGAGGCGACGACGCCCGGTCGAAGCAACGCTGCTGCCAACTCGTGATGAGTCTGCAGTAATTTGCTCGATACCGCGTCGAATCAATGCCGGCCCAGTTGCCCGCCGTCTCTGCTCGCCTCGAACCCTTTCCTCGCTTCGCCTTTTCGGCCAAAACCTCCACGTAAGCCCTGAGCCCTTTTTCCGGCTCAGCGTTGCCCGATCATTCGTGGGGGCAAACAAAGGACGGAGTCGGGCCCCGGTGCGCTGTCCCGGAGGATTCCTCTATCGCATTACCCAGTTTCTCTGCACGGACTCACCAGGAGGTCACGGTAATTCGCTTGCCTCGTCCAACTTCTTAACGGTATTAGTTCATCTTCGGCTAGAATTCAATGCCCTCTCGGATGCCTAAGTTAACTGACCGATGGCAAATTTTATTTAGGGTTCAATTCGGCCGCCTAACGAACTAAATGGTCCGCCTCATTCGGTTCCTTAGTGCCTCTAAGAATTGTATGAATGCTATAAAAAGCCCTCACAAACGCCCGCTCACTTGGCGGAAAAAATACGGGAAACTATAGCGTAATTTTTTGATACTCAAAATTTCCTTACTTGCTTATCTTACTTATCTTACGCGAGTCATCGGTTTTCTGCTAGGACGTTTGGAGGCCCCACGTAATCACAGTAATTCAGTAAAAAGAACAAGGCCATTGTTCTCCATCTGCCAATAGAATACCTAAGACAAAAACAAGAGGCTCTGATGTCTTAAAATGAGATAATTTTTCTGCAAAATAAAATCCGAAAGTAACAAAGCATTCTATTTTCAAAAGCAAAGGCTAATTTACTATATCTTATATAGTAAATATATATTATATATACTTATGTATACTTAGAGAGATACTTATCTCTCTAAGTATTCATTTCTCGAATGCCAGAAAAAAGCGGACCATAGAATTTTTGTCATAAGTACGAGGCCTGTTAATAAAAGTTTGTTTACACGAAAAAATCGATTGTTCATCTATTGCTATAATCCAGATCCTTTTTCCTAGTTTTCGAGTCAAAACATAAACTAAATGTTTCATAGCAGGTCAAGAAGCATCTAGAATTAATTCCGTGATGATATTTAGTGGAGATACCGGTTAGCTTTGTGATTAACTTAGCTTTTCTTTCGACCCCTCGACTCAAGCTACCCCTAAAACGGCAATGTTGGGAAACATTCTTAACTTCGTCAACCATTACTAGTTCGTTAGAAGGCCTCCTGCACTCCATTTCATATTTTGCTTGCATGTAAATAAGGTATAAACATCAGTGCGCTGTGAAGGCTACCAGCGCCATCTATGATTTGTATCATAGAAAAAACACATGGGTGAGTCTTATAGAGCTCCTTATTTAGAGTAATATGTGGATGCCGACCAGCGTTGCGCGGTGGTATATAACATATTTTTAATTAAAACCGACTTTCTGCTGCTGTTAATATAATTGTTTCAATATACAACCAGATTTGTTATTATACATATTCACTATTAGGCGACAAAGATATTTCAACCGATGAGGGCACAGTCTCTATAGAAAAAGGCACTTATTTCTTGGAGTATGCTCCGAAGGAGATTCAATCTACATAGTAACGTCCTGATACAATACGCTATATCGGACCCTTGCAGGGTCAGTGCTTGTAATCGGCATATGCAGTAATAGAAAAAAACCCACACCACTGCATAAGAGGCGCAAAATACGTCACCGGTACACGGACACAGATGTCACAAAGCTGCTTCTTTATAGAGTTGTCAATTCTTTATTCAAACTTAGCATTCTATTTGCTGCTACGACCCATGAATTTGAGTATGGTTCATGTATTTCAATATACGACAAGCTTTATATACAATAACGCCAGCGTACTGTCATGCATAATGACATACAGCAAGCAATGTTCTGAATACCATAATGACGCAATTTAATGTACCGCACGAGAACGTACAGAACGTTGAGGCGTGCAGGGGCAACTAGTGTCGCTAAACCTCATGCGAAGCGGGCATTCAGTTGTCAGCGATGCACGTTGACAGATTTGGTTGAGGGGAGCAAAAATCTCACCTGTGTTGTTGATCCCCATGGGCCGTATTCTGCAGTCATAACGACCCTGGCCAATGATACTGTCCAAAATCCGCTTTTCTATCGCGCGGAAATTTGCCTTGCCCCTGCGAAAGAAAGAAAACAAAGCGAGAAAAATGTTACTCACAAAAATTTCAAAAGGGGTATCAACAAGTCACCAATGCCATGTACTCCTGAAAGCAGGTTTAATATGTATAAAGGTTAGTTACCAAGGTAGACTCAATCAACGTAAACACGTAAACCAGGACGAAATTAAAATTTTGAAGCTGCATGTGAAGACAAACTGGTCAAGTAGCGCGCGGGCCAGTTTCCGGTCGCCTGTACGTGAGCCGTCGCCCAATGACAGGTTGTACACGCAAAAATTTACCTCTCAAAGCTAATTTAAAAACAAAATCATGAGTTGTTTGCTTCTTTTTACAATAATTTTATAGTTACTAATAAAAAAAGCGGAAATTCTGAAAAAAAAAAATAAAGGACTGAATTAATGTCAATGTAGAGCTGTCAGCAACGCCGACTTTTTAATTACTACCAACTCCCACTTGGGTCACATCTAACGGAAGTATTTAATAAAAATAGAGATTATATACCGCAAGTAGAAAAAAATAGCAAAAAAAGAACATGCTTGACGAGCTTGTTTTTACCTGCGAACGTTAGAAAATTATGTCCGTTCACGGAGTATTTTGTGCTACCAGGCATTTCTTCTGGTGACAAGGCAAGCGAAAGAGAAGGTCGCGACAAATGGAGTTCAGCTGTGCTATAAAGCGATGCACTTGAGATTTTTGTTTGTCGTACCGATGTTTGCGAGGACTGCCACATGGACTGAAATTGATCATTTCTAAGTTGTAGTTTGTCGCCAAAAAGCAAATGAGGGGTGTTTTAAAATCCATGCATGAATAAATAGGTTCAGGACCTAATTACTTGCGCACGTTTTTTCATCCGCAAATAGGCGTAAAAAAACACAAAGGAAAAAAAAAGAAGGAAAAAGTAATGGCAGTTGGTTATGTTTCGTTCACCGAGAAAACGATTTTTTTAATGCTTTTATTTTGAAATTATTAGCGCACTCTTAACACGATCGGAACTTCTCCGTTTTTATGCTTTTTCAAATGAACGTATCTGCACGTGAAAATTTATTATGTTTTAATTTTTTTTTTATCTTGGCAAGAGTGACGCTCGTCTACAATTTTGGGACTTTGAAATATTCAAAATTTTACACCACGTGTTTACTTTTTAATTTTTCGCGCACGTTTTTTTTTTGTTTTTTTTTTACATAGAATGAATTCCAACTCATTTGATAAAACGTTTGTAATTGCTATGGCAATGATTTTTGTTTTGTGTGCGTTTGGCTCGAAGGAACCGACGAGCGAAAAGAGGCGGGATAATCGGTTTATGCTGACAAATAAAAAAAAATAAAAAGAAATCGGCAGTTACGTTTGTCCTGATTGCAGCAAAATTAAATTATATCCAGTATTTTTTGTCGCTAATGAGCGTTAGAACGAATTGCATGTGGAGTAATGACTTGGACAGGTAAAGACGAACACGTCCCGGCACCGACGGCTTAAGGAGCGCAGGGCGTGGTTGCGTCCCGAGTATCTTGTTATCGCTGCTCAGCCAATGAGGTTGCGACATTAGAAGTCGAGGAACCAATCACAAAGCTAGATACGTGAGCATAATGATCCCTGCCCTGAACATCTGAGTTAAGCTTTCAGTGACGCAAGGATGATGTAGTAAGGACATGTTACGACAGGGACCGACTAAGCAAGAAGTACCGTTATACTCCCATTAACCTCAGATTAAGGAATTCTGTTTTTGAATACACTTAAAGTTCTAAATAAAGGGAAGCAGACGCAAGAAATGTCGGTCTCGAGTTTGCCCCTAATGTATTCTGGAGACCCCCATCACCCACCCTATCTTCTTTAAAAAAAAATAGCTGCATTTTATCTTTATAAAATGCGGAAATAATGTGACTCATTGTCGAGCTTTTTTTATTTGTTTCTATTATTTTTTAAGAGCTATTTAAAATTAAAAAAAAACAAGCTCTCGAGCAGGTTCACGTGATTTATCCCAGGCATCCGATGTTGCTACAAGCCACCTTAGTGAACTATCGCCTTGTATGGTTTTCATGCGCATCATAATTAACTGCTTCAGCCAAAGTAATCGGCAAGTAGTGTTGGAGCGCATCTGTTCTTGAAGTAATTACAAAGTAAGTGGGAGCTAATGTACTCAATATAAAGTAATAAGTGCACCGGAAGCAGCGGACCTGAAGTAAAGTACTAAGGTCCGCAAGTAATACAATGCATTTCTAAAGTCAAGTACTTTTAACATAATCTTACATAATGTACTTTCATTCCCTCATTCAGTGTAGTTGTTTTTTTCTGTTATAAACTGGTATGCATTGCCCCAGGGGTAATGGGGTGCATCCGTTATTTTTGGAAATGGCGGCCGAAATTGGATAAGTCAAATGACGACAGAGTAGTTGTTTTACTTACGCAGAGTAAATTTTTAACGCACTCAACTTTTAATGCAGTTATTTATATCGGTCTTATAGCCGCCATTACTTCATCCAGAGAAATCACCATATGAAGTCTGCAAAAGCGGAAAATGATACCTCTCCTAATTTTACAACCTCCTCGCTTGCGCTGATCGAACGAGAAGTATCGGGAATACAAAATGTTGCGGGAAAGGCGCCCACAAACGGAGCGATGCTTTGCCTGCTCGAGTTTTTGGTGAAAGTGGAATATCCCTCCCCGTATTTCTTCGGAGCTTACAGAGCATCATTTTGTGATATAAATTTGACAAGGTTATATTAGGGGATTATGAAGTCTGGAGTTGTACTTGCCTCGGAAAGTACCATAAAAATAATTTGAGTAATGTACACATAGGTACCCAGAGAATGTACAAGTGAAGTACAACTACGTACTCAGGGAATGTGCTTCAAGGGAAATACAACTACGTACTCAGGAAATGTACTACAAGTAAAGAACAAGTTTTCTAAACCTACTTAAAAATAGTACTTTAAGTTTAATGGGATTAAAGTACCTCCCAACACCATGGGCGTACCAACCGGGTGGGGCAAGGAGGGCGCTTGCTCCCCCCCCTCCCCCCGGTCTCAGAGTGGGGGGCAAAGCATGTGATTGCAAATGGGCGGCGTGCAGTGTGCGGTTACCATCGTGCATTGTAGTACAACCGGCGGTTACGGCGCGGTGTGGACTAGGCAACACGGTAACTATGCGTTTGTGAGCGAGTGTGGTTCTCGCGTCAATATTTTCTGACTCAAGAATAGAAGATCGACAAGTAATTTACGCACTCCACTGCGCAAGTGACAAATGATGCGGAGCATTCTGAAACATTGGCCGACTATTACTCTAAGCACTCCTCGCAATTATAACAATTTTGTTTTCGGCTCAGGAGTAGTCTGTTCCAAAGCGAAATAATATTGCTTTTTCAATTAGAATTATTTCGCGATTTTCATGTATCTGCATAAAACTAAACACAGAACTATGATGCTCGACGTTGCACATTCGACATTCCTAATTCTCCCTATCTTCCGAAACATTGGTGTGTGTCCTAACACCAGAAACTGGTATTTTAAAGGTTAAAAACAAGACGTTGCGAATATGGGACGCACACTTTGATGCAAATCTGACGTCAAGTGACTCAAATAAAAAAACATGCATAATTACATTAGTATATTATCTCTCCCGGTGAAGGCTCAGCAACCGTTGCATTCGTTTTCGGGCAGAAAACGGTGACTCCCAGAGAAAGCAAGAACGCAGCGTTATTGCCTTCATTTTCACAATGTACACCAAGGAGGTTGATATGTTACACACACACGCAGGCTTGCGCTGATGATGCGTCAAAACCGAAACTCTGGTAGCGCCTGCGGCACGCTCGCATCTACTCAACCTCGCTGTCACGCCACTTCTGAAAGGAGTCACTAAAATTGCCAGTAAACACATAAAAACGACACCGATACAATTATATTGTAGAATATCACTTTATTTAGCAATAACTATGTCAATATGCATTACATGTTGCATTTAAGTCAAGAAAAAAGAAACATAAAACCCTTTTTAGCAAGAAAAATTGAAATATCAACGTTAAGTCTGGTAACAACGTATTTTTGCCGAATCTTTGCCGAATCTTTAGAAAAGTTCGGCAAAAGTTCGGCTTTTCCGAATCCCGAGATTCGGCGAAAGTTCGGCCCACCACTAATTAAGGTATAATCTTTTGATCGGGTAAGATCGCTAATGAAACTGTATAACCGATAGCACCCAATTCTCTGATGCAGCGGCGCCATTCCATCATGGTTAGAGAGACGTATGCCTCTTTTTTTTTAGTTTTTATGCGGTTTATCTAAGATAAACTCTCAGTTGCTAGTCAGCGCTTGTACCATCCACTTCTTTCTTCTGTCCGTATAGCATTCGCGTTCGCTGTTATAAGGTGAACCCAAATACCATCCCGGATCGCGCTCCTCGCGCACTTTTCGTCGGTGGATCTGCAAGCCACATGGCTCTCACGATTAAAACTACCACGAATAACGTGAATTTATACATAATCATCGATGTCTAGACAAACATGAAAATAGCGGAATGGTTTGGGGGTATGACCACGGACTACTATCTTGACAACGAAAGGGAAACTGTTGAAGCCGCATTATAGGATCTTAATAAACATTCACTGCTAATGAGAGATTTGAATACATCCTACTATGATAGTAATTATTCTGTGTGTACTTAGATATTTTCTCCTAGTCTTCGAACATATATTTATGCCAATTGTACGTCGAAGGAGCGACAACGGCAATTTACCTACCTTAAAGTAACATTGACATGGTATTTATGCTCGCCAAGCTTTCTATTTGTACACGGCATGTGTCCAACTACCCCGAACACAGTATACGACTGGAAATTCGTTTTCTCTCGGCCCAAAAATCTCCGATCGAGAACTGGCTGGTTTGAGTAACGCTTACTCTCTTCTCCGTTGTCACGTGCCATTTTCTATGGTTTAGGCACAGCCACCAAATATAATCAAAGTCGTGGGTCATCGATGGCACACATTCAATATAAAAAAAAGGTGAAACATTTTA